CGTCGCTGCCTCCTACACATCCTTAATCCAGAGCCAGCCCCGTAGCGGATTCTGTCAGGCCCTGCGGAAAGTTAAGAAGAATGTGGCTAAAAAAGTTTCTGTACGTCAACCTGAATGCTGAAGGAGCTAGAATATAGCTGATATTGTGCAGAGACGCTTCAAGCGTTCCCGCCGCCAAATCCCCGCCGTCCATAATGCTGACCATGGAAGTGCTTCATCCAATCAGGATATCGAGGTAAGCAGGTTTTATTTTGAAGTTCAACTTGTCTGAGGCCACCAAGGATGCATCGCGTCTGCGTCCTTCCGATGGCGACAAGCACACCACTTATGAGAATCTCACTGGCTGTGGGAATCAATCAGCGTCCGGAGAACCTGCTTCGAAGGTATTTACGCTAAACGATATAGTTTTCATGTCTAAATTCTGGTGGTCGTGCAGGTCCTCGACGCCCCTCCTGGCGTGGAAGAGATTCCCGATCCCCAATCAGTTGATGCTAAACTTCGGGGTGCCCGTGAGGCTACAGAAAGTATGGGACTACTCGGGGGACGTGTCACTTCTTTTATATCCAAAGCCGAGGATGGCCCAATAGATCTCGCTGCCGCAGACGATTTCCAGACCACATATCTTCAACCACTCAGAATTTTTGACACCGTCATCGAGAATCTTGCGAACGTATGGGTCTCTCTTCTTGCTTGAAAGCGAGCTAATCAAATTGTATAGGTACATCCTTATGCAAAGATGGTGCTGGGCATGCTGTCCGCTGCATCCAAAGTACGTGTGGTTTTACCTTCCTGTTCAACAGTCGTTGACTCTATGCAGATCATTCTCGCTCAAACAGAACGCGACAAGTCGGTGCAATCTCTTCTCGACAAATTGGAACAAGTTTACCGCTTCATGTCACAAAAGGACACTCTTGGGCAGATCTCATCCAAGCGCAGCATCGCTGGACGAATCGCCCAGCAGACTCTAGAGTGCGCGTGTTTCATCAGGGATTATTCGGAGAAAAAGAGCTTTTGTGAGTCATCGAGCCATTGCGCTTTCCATAATTTGAATCTTATGCCATCATCACAGGGAAGAGACTCGGGAAAAATATTGTCTCGGAGACGGATGATCTGATTTCACAGTACAATAACGCTTTGGACGAGTTCATGCAACAATTTCGAGACCAAGCTCTTCGGGATATAGCCGATCTTGTCCGGTGTACGAGTAAGGATTCGGACGTACTTCTGACTTTCCGTCCACTCATACCCCTTCAGGTGATGAACTGGGTGACAAACTGGATCTCAGTGGGATGCCTTATGCAGCAGGCACGGGACTAAATACCACGAAACTATGCCTGCCAGGAACGCGGGCGGACATTCTCTCCCAGATCACTGAATGGATCAACGACAGCGGAGATACTGCTCAGCGAGTGCTGTGGCTATCTGGCCCTGCGGGCACGGGCAAATCAGCCATCGCTCACACAATCGCTAACTGGTACAACGACTTGGGAGGGCTCGGTTCGTGTTTCTGCTTCGACCGAGACCTCAAAACGGACAAACGTCATGAAAAAGTCTTCTCCACCATCGCTCGCGACCTCGCTGACCGTGATCCGAAAATGAGACAAACATTAGCCAATGTAGTCGAACATGCAAATGCGCTCAAGAACACGACAGATATCATGCAGCAATGGCACAAGCTATTTATGGAACCGCTAAAAAAGTTTTCGGGGTCGAGTGCGGAACCTGTCTTGATCGTAATAGAAGCGCTGGATGAGAGCGGCGAAGTTGAGACACGGCGCAACCTTCTCCGCATACTTTCCAGTAAACTTCAGGACAAAGGTCTTCCCCAAATCACTGAACTCCCTCCCAACTTTCGGATTCTCGTCACCTCTCGCCCACTTCATGATATCGATGATGCATTCCGCGGTGCTCAGCATGTTCTACCATTATCGATGGACGACATTCCAGAAGCAGTCGCAAGAAGCGACATCCATGCTTTTGTGTCTGAGGAGCTGAAAGAGCTACCAGATTTTCGGCACGAAGAGTTCGCAGTCCTCGCTGACAAAGCTGGTGGACTGTTCGAGTGGGCGCGTCTTGCATGCAACTACATCCGAGGCGTCGCTACCGGCTCACGCGCAATGGATCGCTTCAATGATGTCGTGTCCCACAATCATGGAGAGCAGGAAAACCTGTTGTATGGGATGTATAAATTCATTCTAGGAGAAAACATGCGGAAGGACAAACACATCACAGAAGCTGGTTATAAGCGAGCGCTAGCCAGTTTTTGTTCTGTAATGGGACAAGTACTTGGTTCAGCCGAACCACTCTCTCTAGATGCTCTGAATGCCATGCGGCGCCGTTTTCCAGATGAAAGCGAGCATTACGGAGTGGAACTCGTGTTAGGAGACATGGGATCCCTGCTAAGCGGGACCACCAACTCATCTAGCGTCATCCGACCCCTTCACGCATCCTTCCGCGAATTCCTGACAAATAAATCATCTAGCGGAGAGTTTTTTGTGGAGATGTCGAACTCGCAACGCGATCTTGCTTTTGCATCCCTCCGAGTGATGGAGCACGACCTTCGCTTCAATATGTGTAATTTAAAGTCTTCATACCTCCCGAATACCAAAGATACCGGGCTGCTGGATAGAGTCGCAACACACATTTCCTCGCATCTGTCGTATTCCTGTCGATTTTGGGCTACGCACGTCCGAGCAACGGACTTTGACGCGAAGCTCGTGAAGGAAATAGGATCATTCTTCGATAATGAGCGACTGCTCTTCTGGATCGAAGCACTTGGCCTTCTCAATGGACTCGGTAGCGCAGTTGCTGTGCTTCCACGCATCACCCAGTGGCTGAAGGTGAGAACAGAGTGGCCTGGCGGTGTCAGGGGAAGTGCTTACGCGCGAACACAGGGCCAATCCGGATATGCAAACCTATTGTCCGCTGCAACGGACGTACAGAGATTCGTGCAGGTGTTTGGTGGGATTATTTTGCACAGCACAGCACATCTGTATGTATCAGCGCTGCCATTTTGCCCCAGCAAGTCCACGATGGCTACAAAGTTTACTGGAAAGTTTCCGAACACTCTTCGTGTGATGCATGGTCGTCTTGTGAACTGGACCGCTATTCAGGCCGTGATCAGTGGGCACACTGAATCGGTTTTGTCAGTCTCGTTCTCGCACGATGGCACTCGCATTGTGTCTGGTTCAAAGGATTCCACTGTCCGGGTGTGGGATGCAGCAACGGGGCTGCCATTGGGCGAGCCCTTCCGAGGACACACTAATTGGGTTTCGTCAGTCTCGTTCTCTCCCGATGGCACTCGCATCGTGTCTGGTTCTTGGGATTCCACTGTCCGGGTGTGGGATGCAGCAACGGGGATGCCATTGGGTGAGCCCTTCCGAGGGCACACTTCTTGGGTTTCGTCAGTCTCGTTCTCGCCCGATGGCACTTGCATCATGTCTGCTTCTTTAGATTGCACTGTCCGGGTGTGGGATGCAGCAACGGGGCTGTCATTGGGTGAGCCCTTCCGAGGGCACACTTCTTCGGTTTTGTCAGCTTCGTTCTCGCCCGATGGCACTCGTATCGTGTCCGGTTCAAAGGATTCCACCGTCTGGGTGTGGGATGTAGCAACGGGGCTGCCATTGGGTGAGCCCTTCCGGGGGCACACTGAATCGGTTTCATCAGTCTCGTTCTCGCCCGATGGCACTCGCATCGTTTCTGGTTCAAAGGATTCCACTGTCCGGATGTGGGATGTAGCAACGGGGCTGCCATTGGGTGAGCCCTTCCAAGGGCACACTTCTTGGGTTTACTCAGTCTCGTTCTCGCCCGATGGTACTCGCATCGTGTCTGGTTCTTCGGATTCCACCGTCCGGGTGTGGGATGCAGCAACGGGACTGCCATTGGGTGAGCCCTTCCAAGGGCACACTGATGAGGTTTGGTCAGTCTCGTTCTCGCCCGATGGCACTCGCATGGTGTCTGGTTCAAAGGATTCCACTGTCCGGGTGTGGGATACAGCAACGGGGCTGCCATTGGATGAGCCCTTCCAAGGGCACACTGAATCGGTTTTGTCAGTCTCGTTCTCGCACGATGGCACTCGCATTGTGTCTGGCTCAGAAGATTCCACTGTCCGGGTGTGGGATGCAGCAACGGGGATGCCATTGGGTGAGCCCTTCCGAGGGCACACTGAATCGGTTTTGTCAGTCTCGTTCTCGCACGATGGCACTCGCATTGTGTCTGGCTCAGAAGATTCCACTGTCCGGGTGTGGGATGCAGCAACGGGGATGCCATTGGGTGAGCCCTTCCGAGGGCACACTTCTTGGGTTTCGTCAGTCTCGTTCTCGCCCGATGGCACTCGCATCATGTCTGGCTCAGAAGATTGCACTGTCCGGGTGTGGGATGCAGCAACGGGGCTGCCATTGGGCGAGCCCTTCCGAGGGCACACTTCTTGGGTTCGGTCAGTCTCGTTCTCGCCCGATGGCACTCGCATCGTGTCTGGTTCTTCGGATTCCACCGTCCGGGTGTGGGATGCAGCAGCGGGGCTGCCATTGGGTGAGCCCTTCGAAGGGCACACTTCTTCAGTTTTGTCAATCTCATTCTCGCCCGATGGCACTCACATCGTGTCTGGTTCTTCGGATTCCACCGTCCGGGTGTGGGATGCAGCAACGGGGCTGCCATTGGGCGAGCCCTTCCGAGGGCACACTTCTTGGGTTCGGTCAGTCTCGTTCTCGCCCGATGGCACTCACATCGTGTCTGGTTCTTCGGATTCCACCGTCCGGGTGTGGGATGCAGCAGCGGGGCTGCCATTGGGTGAGCCCTTCGAAGGGCACACTTCTTCAGTTTTGTCAATCTCATTCTCGCCCGATGGCACTCACATCGTGTCTGGTTCTTCGGATTCCACCGTCCGGGTGTGGGATGCAGCAACGGGGCTGCCATTGGGCGAGCCCTTCCGAGGGCACACTGATGAGGTTTGGTCAGTCTCGTTCTCGCCCGATGGCACTCGCATCGTGTCTGGTTCACAAGATTCCACTGTTCGGGTCTGGGATGCAGCAACGGGGCTGCCATTGGGTGAGCCCTTCCGAGGGCACACTGAATCAGTTTGGTCAGTCTCATTCTCGCCCGATGGCACTCGCATCGTGTCTGGTTCAGAAGATTCCACTGTCCGGATGTGGAATGCAGTAACAGAACAGCAATTTCGGGAGCACACTGATATCCACTCCTCTGCATTCTCTTCGGACACATGTCCCACCACATCTTGCAAACGAGAGAGCATCATGTCAACCGATACTCGGAACAATCCCACCATTTGCTTTGCATCAAGCTTGGAACATGCACTGCAAAAACCTGCCAAGTTACTTGAAGGTGCCTCTCATCTTAATTCAACCCCTGTCTCGCTGGAAGATGGATGGATGATAGGAGCCTATGGTCGGCTGCTTCTCTGGGTACCCCCTGCTTCCCGAGAACAACCATTTCATTACCTTGGGACTACATTGGTGATACCCGGTGGGCTAGAAATTGATTTGAGTCGCATGGCTCATGGAGAAGACTGGACGAATTGCCGAGATGTGTGAGTTCTTAGCCTTGACTGTCCCTAGTGGTTGCTAAATTAATATTTCTAGCGCTACTCGCAAATGATCCAGTTGTAGTACTACCAAGTTTCCAGTTTTATTCCATGTCGATCTTGTATCTGCTATCGAGCTTGAATTTGAAGTTGTCCGCTATCATCGTGATCGCTTCGGCAAGAGCACAACACAAGGCTCCCAAATCCAGTTCGCGTCATAAGTACCAGAGAGTAACGAAAGCACGAGGAGGCGAGATGGCGATGGATTGCTGCTCTAGTGCTCTTCCCTGTTGCTCAGGATACTTTAAAACTCGCCCTCCACATCGAATACAGGTAACAACATGATTCTTTCATTGATACAACTTCTACGACTAGCGTTGTTTTCGTGATTCTAATTATTTCAAATCAAATTCGACGGCTATTGGAAGTCCTCCAGGCCCACGAAATTCTCCTTTATGCTTCTGGCCGAAACGAACCGGTAAAAGATGCTGATACTCCCAGCTTTGTCGTTGGTCCCACTCGCTCGTTCTTCAAGTTCTCCAAAGGGTTGCTGACCCACGACCGCGCCAGTGCATTTCTCGTTGCAATAGACGTTGCCGGCAACGTTCCGTAGCTTGTTTGTGGCAGTCAGGAAGGCCTTGCGCTCTGCGGCAAAGCTGGTAAAGAAGTTGTCAGTCGACGCATACCGCAGAGACCTTGCGACTTACATAGAGCCGGTCAGTGCATAAGGTGAGGTGTTCTCGATGAGTTCGAGAGTTTGCTCATAATTCGCGTCGTCGTATACATAAACCTGAAAAGTTGTTAGTACATCTGGCCGTATCTGCGAACGATTACAGTGATGACAGAACGAAAGATTTATTCTTTTATCGTGATTAATTCAGGATAGAATGATGGTGGGCTGTATGAAGTAGCCCTTGGAGTCATCACCTGTAGGATCATGAGAAAAGTCGCAGGTGAGTCGTAGTATGATCCGCCTTACTAGTGCCTCCGATAAGAACCGGATGAAACCAATTATTTTGTCTCTGCGATATTATTCAGTAATCATATGATATCAATCAATGCACAGCCCATAGACACACCACGTGGTCCCATAAAGTTAGTCTTGGACGATTTTGATCTCGGCAACCTCAGACAGGAGAATCCAGATGAGCGAAGAAGAAACATATAGCCGTGACAATGCAGAACATTTTTGTCCTGCATCCACGCCTTCAATCTTACGCACCACTCATATACACAACATTATGCGCACCTTCAAATGCTCAAAGTCGCCCGGACCTCCTTGCTTATATCTAACTTCGCGCGCCTGCGTACTGGGCATATCTGTATTTCAACCTACGCTTCGCCCTTCGGATCGTGACGTGACGAGCCCGCATTTTGTTTGACAGTCAATTCTTCGATGTTTACAGTATGATGAGTGTCAATTGCGATCATAATTCAGGAGACCTTCTGAGCGATAACTCTAGTCATGCATATCGGTTATTCATACAATCTTTTCTTCCCAGTTGTCTATGGAACGCGGATAACGAACGCGCTCGTAGTAAGCCTTAAACGCAAGTTCGGCATCATCTAGGAAGGTCTTCAGCAATCTGCAGTGTTCTTCGCATAAACCCTCCTTCTCCTCTGCTGTCACATGGAATTTTTTGTCTCGACAGGTAGATTTCAACTGCGCTGCAACCTTTTTTCTCCAGAGATTCCAAACCCTCGTCTTGTTCGGCACGAACAACGATAACATACGCTCCGCGTCAAAGTCTTCGTTTGTCTCGTTTCCATCACTGAGAATAGAGCAGGCGAAAACAGCTTGGCTCCTCCTATTATGCAGGCAATACTTCTGTATCGCGCGTCCTTCAACCTGCAGCGCCTTCAAAAGCAGGTCTCCTTGTATCTTTTCGCTCTCGAGTGAAGAGAGGAACGAGTTGTAGACCCAAGATGCCGCACACGAGGCGAGAAACATCATTTGACCAAAGAGTGTCGCTTGGGGGATCAAGAGGAGCTGTAGCAAGAATTGTGCTAGTAAAAGGAGTGAACACAGTCCAACGCTCCGGTACTCTCGTCCGCCATGCATGTTCAACAAGAAATGACCCTTCGTTATCACATTCACATCTTTCTCCGACCCTATCAGAACGACGACATCGCGCGGGGTCAGAAGCAGTCCATCCCCTGGGGGGACCCCCGGGGTCACAGTTTTGGGTCCCCGGAGATGGAGCCTCGCAGTACCGATCACGAAGCAGGTTATGCCACTTGAAACGATGCCGAGAAGGATGAGGCTGAAGGCATACCAGTCGGCAAAGACAGCACATGAGAAGCATGTCATGATGCTGATGGTTATGGGTATCGTGGCTAGTAGTGCGTGATGGGTGCTCATCATCCCCACTTCATCCATATCCATGACGTCTCCGACGCGGATGACAGTCACTGATGCAGGTAATGTCTCCGTGCTGGCTTTTCCCTGAACCGCCATATCTTCCACCTCCTTGCTCATCTGTATTGTGAGGTATCCAAGGTGCCCCGTCGTCATATCTGTACCAGACAGCGAAGCGACGTATCGCGGCCCAGCTTTGCCATCCAGGCCAAACATTTCAGCTGGTTCGGAATTTGGACCTGGGAATAGTCCATCCCAGAATCGGGAGTTGGCTAACTGGCCGTATCTTTTGGCGACAGTATAGCTTCCTGGAGAGTTGTACCACCCCAGCCATCTTCGGCCGCGGTACAAATGCACGGTACCCATGGCTGATAGTGTTTCATCGCCGCCGAAAAAGCCGGCAACACCTGCTGAATCTAGCGTGAATGGTGAACCATGAAATGGGATCTGCAGGTGCATTGTTGTGGATGTTGTAGATAACGGTGAATCCACAGCATGTTGGGTAGGTCTTCAAATATCAGCCCTGCGTGAACTTACTAAGAGCTGTAGGTCCTGGGAGAACTCGAATCGTCCTCGAGGCAGCCTTACGAAATAAGTATATTGATCATCTGACCCCGAAAGGCACTGCGAACTGATATATAACCGAGCGCTGAAACACCGCATCTTTGATGGACTACTAGTTCTGTCACAATTACCAAGGACACTCGCCCCATTTGTGAAAGTTAGTGCAACTACAAAGGCCATCCATCAGAAAGTAGTCCGATCGGGCGCAAGTTTTTCAGGAGAAGAAAATCATTGCGCCCACAGGATACATTAGACGCCAACTTTTTGGAACACGCTGATGGACCTTTCAAACCTGTAGTTGTCACAATCCATCGAATTTTCGTACAGAATCGAAGGAACTCGAACAAGTGTGGCGATTTAACGACATGAGTGATAATAATCCCAAAGCTCGCCTATCAAATTCCACCCCCAAATAGGCTGATAATAGCCACAGGAGGAGGTCCACCCTCCCGGAGCTTTGTTTGCCCACAATAAGCAAAGACGTATTTTGAGGGATGCCATGTCACTGTAGGTGATGGTGCCAATGCAGGAACACGATGCAATGGGGCACCCGTCTCTGTTGCACACTATTGTGCCCAGATCATGTTAAAAGCAGATAAATAGCTAGAAACCGAGTCCTTACTATATCGATATAGGGTCCTGTATTTGCAATAGCGAGGTACTCTCCATCGTACGAGAAGCTCAATGCATTGATCGCATTTCTGAAGGAATCAAGTGAGTGGAGAGAGTAACATGTTTTGATCCACTCACTCGCAAGTGGAGATTGTCCGAGCGCATATCCATTCACTCAGATCGAACATGTTGACAATTGAGTCGTAGCCACCAGATGCAAGATATCTGAACACAACGTTAATGCATGTCGATTAGAATATGTAACAGCTAATACGCACCTCCCCCGGGGATCGAGTGCTACTGCAACACAACCTCCGACATGAGCGGCAGGGCTTTCTCTAAGGGTGAGCGTTGGGTAGTCCATGACCCGAACGCTATGCTCAGAATGATGTGTCAGAATTATACCATCGCCGACATGATTGAACATGGCGGTGGATGCGACAATGCTCTGTCGAAAGATGTCAATAACTTGTTACATGAGGGAGACGATGTGGAACAAACCCCGTCCTTATCTGAGAGATGCCATTGCGCCTTTGGTGCATCACCATCTTTCCCGTATGTTAAGAAAAAGAGCTGGTGCCCGGCCGAAGTAAATATCAAAGCCCGGCCGTCTGGAGAATAATTTGTCTGCACGGGTGAGATTTTTAGAATTATTTGCTGCGTATGCCGACTTTCTTGAGTTCTGTAAGGGTTATTCACAATGCGCGCAAGGCATATAACACTTACGTCGTGCATCCCAAAATACAATCCTTCTGTCCTTCTGACTCGACGTACAAAATAACTCTGGATGAGTGGGATTCCATGATATATAGTCAACATCATCGGAATGACCGCCAGAGAAGTGGGTTGCAGCTCTTGATTCCATCTATGATTGGGGCACGGTGTGTGACTCCTGATGAGATACAAGATATAGTACGTACGCTAGTTTCTGGAGTCCAGATCCGAGTGATTTTGTCGATACCAACGCCAGCTAAACGCTTCCCATCGCAACTCCATGCTACATGGGTTATAGCTTGAGGTGAGGGTATACGTAGATCACGCGGTTTATGCGCAGGAAAGTTTTGTGCCTGAATCAATGGAGTACATTAACAATGCGAGGTTCTTTGAGATGTACAAGTCCTCTATACGCACATGTAGACCGCGAGCAGCGAATGTTGTATGAAGAGGGGGAGATGGTGGCCGTTGAAGGGGTGCTACTTCTTCTTCCTCCTTGCTGTTTACTTGACTTGACATTGATGATGCGACTGAGCGTATGGTGTTTTGACTCGGAGCCGGACTTGCAGACGTTGTTTGCCACTGTTAGGACCGACAAAGGAACAACCAAGATCATCAGTCTCAGAGTCTTCATCTTTTCAATTGCGCCGTTTTCAACTTGTTTGTTTTATGCAATTCACAGGAAAGTCTGCACCCAGTTACGACCTTTGATTTATGGTAGATCATTATCGACGATGTTCGTTCCGTCCGGGTTTTGGATACGGACGTAGACCAATTAACTTTGCTTCTCATCAATCAGATTACTGATCACCGTTGTTGCCCTTACAATCGATCCAGTTCAGTCTGACTGAAACTAGAAGAAAATGACGTTGAAATATGTCTGGTTAGATGTAGATCCGGTGCGCAATTGACCATTTGCTCTCGTTTGGTGGGGATGTGCTGAGGAAATGCTTCATTCAGGGACATGATGATGCCACTGCACTTATGATGGCCTGTCAATTAGAGGATATCAAGCTTCTTGGAGTATCCAGCGTGTGTAAAGCGGCTTTCTCCCGCACAAGTCCTTTTCAAGCAAGCTGCTTAGGTTCACGGCAATGCGTCCGCTGATTGCACTGCCAATAACACCGCAAGGTGTCTGCACGCATTTGCTGCACCTTCCGATGTTCTAGTATATCCTGGCGCATGCAAGCCGTTACTTCGACCCACAAAACACGACCCTGAAATTCATGGAGAAGATGGCCTAGGAGGTGTTGTAGGGCTCCCTTCGGCTGATAGTCCTGAAGTTCAGGCACGATTCGCTCGGAAAGTCGATGGGTCATTGATCCATGCCATCGAGGGGATGGCAACAGCCATCAAGGACGCATGGCGCAATGGTGCTGGACATCAAGTATCAGTTGTTTCTTCGGGACCAATGACGAATATTGCCCTATTTATAAGCGTCTATCCCAGCCTTATGGAAGCGGTGGAGCAGTTTGTATTTATGGGAGGCGGTGTGGGTGTTGGCAATAGATCTGCCGTCGCAGGTATGTAACATGTGGTACTTGAAGAACCAATCTTTACAATGACAGTGCAGAGTTCAATATTATGTGTGATCGTGCGTATCTTATCGAAATATGTTACGGTGCCTGTCTTGATCCTCTATTAGCTGAGGCGGCTCAGATTGTCCTCGATGCTCCAGTCAAGACTGTCATGATACCCATAAATGTGACACACACGGCGATTGTCACTTCGGCTATCCATTCCCGCCTGAGATCACCCCATCTACCTTTCCTGGATGGCGTGTTGGCACATCCATCCACCAATCTCCGAAGCACATTGTCTTCTGTCATCAGTTTCTTTGCAGGAACGTACAAGTCAACATTTGGTTTCGATCAAGGTCCTCCTCTCCATGATGCATTGACCATCACATATGTGTCCCATCCTGAGTTCTTTAGAGCTCAACGTTTCAGAGTGGATGTGGAGTTACATGGTAAGCACACGGCGGGAGAAACGGTCATCGACGTCTGGAATTATCGGATATGTGATGACTCATGGGGCTCTAATGGGAAGAATTGCGTTGTCGCCCAGTCAGTTCAGGTGTGTATTCGAATGTACAGTAAACCTTCTCTTCTCACAATATCAATGTCCCTAGGTCGACCAGTTTTTTGAATTGCTTTTGGAATGCGTCTCCCGATGTGATGCCATATCTCCGCTCAACGTACAACAACAATGATAATTTACAGCACCTTCACACTTCTGATCGACTTACGACCGTTCTCTACATCTACTCACGCTCTACTACCATTGCTGAAGATTTATTCTTTTACGTGTATTCAAACGCGATGCGCCTTATGACCAGTACATGTAAGATACCATTTCTGCCAGGACCCTGCCGCACCTATTGTATTAAGTTGCAGACCCCATAACAGTCGAGCGCTTTCAATAAGGTTGTTCTTGGTCAGTAATTACGTTCCGCATGCTGTGCATACACGCTTACCATCACAGCCTGCCGTCTGTCACAGAATCCCAAATCATGCCTGTCAAATCAACATCTCATAGGAATTGGGTAAAGTTAGTGATCGTATTGAATGGTTGTTCTGATGGCCGCTACGCAAACACGTTGTCATTGCCACCCGAGCCAGGATCATCAATTCATCAGATATCAGATAGGCTCCAGTTACTAATTACGACTCCATGACAATCATTCTTGTCCGAAAACTTTGTTCCTTGACGTCCGTGGGTGCTGCTAGATGGGGGCGTGATGCCGTTAGGCCAGACGATGTATAAATACATGTCATCACGTCCTGTTACTAGACAGGCGAACCTCTCATCCCTGACAAATTTGCCTTGTGCTACTCGCTATGGGCGTCGACAAAGCGTGAGTGTCATGGTTCCAGCATACAGGCCTATCTCAACTGACAGTGACTTTCAGTGGCAAAAAAACAAGGTTTGTCACGGTTTCGCGCACTATAGATATTGTGATTCTGAGTTATCCCCTAGTCGTTTCAAGTTCATTCGCAAGTCGACATTACGAACCGCTGATGACAGCACCACCCAGGTGTTATCCCTGCTGCTTGTGTACGTGTCCTTGCTAATATTTCAATGTAGGAACTTGAAGCTCCCGTAGACGACATCGAGGATGACTCGACACCCGCCCCGGAAGGGGAAGAGGCAGGAGACTTGCAAGATGAACCAGACACGCAAGATGAAACAAATACGCAAGACGAGACAAACACGCAAGACGAAACAAACGCACAAGACGATTTACCTGGTCAAGATTCCTTACCCACAGAATCCCTACAAGATGAATTGCTTCGCCAAGATTCCTCGCCCATAGTGGTGACAGAATCCCCTCAAGAGGAGGCAGAAATGCAATCCATGTTCCCAACTTCTGACTCCCCCGCCCAAGAGTTTGCCAGCATTGCGGAGATTGACAGAGCCGACAGCCCTGTCGAAGATCCTGAGGTTATTCTCAAGAACCTACAGGAGACTTTTCAGAACATAATCGACGATAAATTAGCGAACATACCTCTTCGCTTGATAGACACCCACAGCGGCATCCTATACACCAGCAATGACCTCGAGGGAATTTTCAAAGAGTCGGAGGAGTATCAACAACTCTACGAAAATCTCCTGACCACCTCCGTGTCGAAGCTTCAGCGCAGAGTTGACGAATTCTTTCGATATGCCATGCTTTCCCACAAGTGGGCAAGTGCGAAGGACGAGCCCCAGTATTGGCAGATCAAGGGCAGCGTCTACGAGATGGATGCGCCACTAGAAATTCGCAAGCTGCAACAATTCTGTACCACCTCGAAGAGAGAAGGCTACCGATGGGCGTGGAGCGATACGTGTTGTATCGATAAGACGAACAACGCCGAGCTTCAGGAATCCATCATCTCCATGTTTGCTTGGTACAAGGATTCGGCAATCACTATCGTTTACCTTGCAGACGTCTCCGATATCTCGCAGTTGAAAGACAGTCAGTGGTTTAAGAGAGGCTGGACGTTGCAGGAGCTCCTCGCACCTCAATTTATTCGATTCTACAAGCAGGATTGGCAGCCGCTCATCGATTCCGATAAGAATCACAAAGTTGAACTTCTATCCATTCTCCACGACATCACTCGCATCGATGTTGATGTTTTGAAGGCATTCGTACCCGGCGTCGACAATGTCAAGAAGCGGTTGAGTTGGGTGGGCAGCAGGACGACTAAGAAGATCGAAGACATTGCCTATTGCCTCATGGGTAAGCGTCGCCATAGCTAATGAATTATTCTAACGCACTTGCCAGGTATTTTCGGCATTCATATGCCTGTAATGTACGGGGAGAAACATAACGCCTTTGTGCGGCTTCAGAAGGAGATCATGGCGCTTACCGACGACCTCTCACTCTTTGACTGGTTGGGAGAGTCATCGACCCTTCACAGTTACTTTGCTGCGCATCCGAGGTGCTTCATGACCCCATCTTACGACGCTCGACAGGACTCCACTTCATCGAAATTCGAATTCAGGTTACTCAAAACTTCGAAGCGCATCACCAGTGGCTTGTCTTCTTCGGCTCTCAAGATTGTCAAGGACGTTTTGAGCAACCCGCCTCACGGACGTTTCATTGCGAATGGAAGAATGAGCATGCCCTTTTTCGTTCACGAAGTGGTCACCCTCATTCCAAACCAAGACAAGCCCGGAATGCTCAGCTATCTCGTCAAAGCTGAAGGGCTCTCGGAGCTCGAGGTCATCGTCACACAACGGCTAGTTCCTTTATACGGCAAGAACCCAAGTCACAAATACCGTGTCGTACGAATGTGGGACGCGAGTCTTATTCAACGTTCTGGAAGCACGAGCATCGAGGCTGTTGATGCCTCGATTGTTGATAACCCTGAGTCTCCGGAGCCGCCTACGACAGAGGACTCCCCGAAGCAGGAGAAGGAAAAGGAGAAGGCAAAAGAGAAGGGGAAAGATAAGGACAAAGATAAGGGAAAAGATAAGGACAAAGAAAAGGAAAAAGAAAAGGACAAGGATAAGGATAAAGAAAGTTGGGTCGGCAGATCCAAGGACCTCGTCGCCGATTTTGTGGCCGATATGGTCACCAACAGCACTGCTGCTGCATTTATTCGGCGGCTGCAAGAGCCATTTGTTGCTCAGCTGCTTTGTTCGCCTGGTGACAAGCAGCCTTGGCGGAGGGTTGGAACCACCATCCGCGTCATTGCTCACGCATCCTCTGGGTCCATTAATTTCAGGGCTCCCGAAAATGTTATCGTGCACTAAAACTTCACTGTGTCGCTGCTCGCTAATACCCCTATGACTGTGTTGTCTATATATTTTACAGCTACGATCACGAACTCTACGCCATATTCATGAAACTATGGTACTGTATCAAATTACTTGGACTCTCTACTGTACAGTGCGATAAAAAAAATGCTAAGTTGAAAAACGTCCAGTGTTAATTGATAGACCTCAGGCTCCTGATTGGTAATCTCGGGTCACTAGGGGAAGGCGAGGCATTAGGGGGTCCCAGAACTTTGTCAAGTAAGATAACGTATCAACGTCAACCACGACCGTCACGACGCATGAGAACAAACAGAATAGGCACTGCTTGTACACGCGGCGGCGGAAGACCGAAATAACTCGTAAGAACAAGCTTCTCACCATGCCTCCTTTTTTACACCACTACTCGAAACGCTGCCAATCAAGCTGCGACTCCGAACCTGCAATACCAAATATTGTTGGTATGCAGTGCGAGCATCCGAGAGCAAGTCGTTCAACAAGTTCTTATCGACATCGTTGAACGCAGCTATGCGGTTACCACAAGCCTCGAGGTCAAGTGATTGCAAGACCTGCTTGCTGCTTCTCATCTGCTCCAAAACCTGTTCTCTCCAGACCGTCCATACGTGCGTGTCGTTCGGGATGAACTGTCGAAGGATCTCTTGTGGTTTAAACCCTCTGTTCCCCCAATCTTTGTGCTCGCAGTCGGGCTGAAGGGTTAGGCAAGCGAAAACAGCTGCGGCCGTTCTTGTGCCCAGTTTATACGTCTTCATGCGATCCTTCGACAAAGTCAACGCTTGGACGAGCTGTTCCTCCTGCAGGTATTCTCCGTCCATGGACGACAAGAAGAGATTGTACGCCCATGAGACAGCGAAGGACGTTAGGAACATGACCTGTCCAAACAGTTTTCCCTGTGGTATCAGGAGCAACTGCGTCAGAAATTGAATGACCAGGAGGAGCGAGCAGAACCCGATCGCTGCGTATTCGTCATTGGTCTCGGCGTCTTCATCATGATCCTCTGCCAGTGTCTCTGGCCCGGGGCCGCTCTCTGCATCTTTTCTCCCAAACATATGGTGGAAGTCACGGATCCCATCCCCTATAATGCCGCGTTTCCTCCTCTCCCTCCTAGCTCGCTTACGGACCCAGGGCTCGTACTCCAAGTGAAACTTGCCCTGCGTGATGGCAAGCACATTCTTCTCTTTTCCACGGACGACGATCACATGGTTTCCGTCCATCAGTATGCCATCGCCTGGCGGTGCATTTTTAGAGGAGGCGACACTCTGGAGGACTATGGACGCAGAACCGATGACAAAACACGAGATGCCGTTGACGAGAATGCCGAGGAGGATCAAGGAGAAACAATACCAGTCATCGCCCCATGCACAAAGTGTGCATGTTACGACGCTGGTAGCGATAGGGATCAATGCGACGTGTTTGTGGAAGCCATCTCGGGCATGGATGGTCAAGCTATTTTCGGTACCAGCATCGAACTTGATGTCTGGCATATCCAAGATGGTAACTTTATTTGCCCTTGTCTTTCGTCCCTCTACTATCACGGCTCGTTGGTCTTTGCATTTCTGCATTAACAGGTATGCGAGGTGACCCGTTTGTTTTAGGAATGTGCCGGACTGGGATGCGACATACATAGGACCGGACTTTCCATCCAGCCCTATGTACGTGGTGGGCTCTATATTGGGTCCTGGAAACATTCCGTTCCAAAAACGAGAATTGGCGATTCGGCCATAGTGCCTCCCGACACTGTAGCTGCCCGGGGAATTGTACCAGCCTGTCCACCGCCTTGCTCTATAGAGATGCACAGTCTCCATCGCGGAGACCGCCTCTTCACCTCCAAAAAAACCTGCGAAGCCACCGACATCGAGGCTGAAATGATCTGTGTTTATCGTAACTGGGGGCATGATGATTTTTGAGGGCGTCCTCGCGCGCAGCCGCTCTCCTTCATATAGATTTCGTAGCACTACCCTGAGTCTGAGCTAGCTCGGTTCTTTCCTGCAAAAAAAGTTCGAACACTGCCTCATGGCGTTAACATGGTTTAAGACCCCAGGACACTCTACTCCAACGAGGACATTTCTTCCTTTTGTTATGACTCATCTGTGGGACCGTCCGGCAGCAGGGAAGCTCCACCGACTATCATGCATCATCCCAAGGAGCTCGACAGACATCTATGGCCCCCTCCCCACCTTTGCTGAATTCCTCCTACCGCCCGTCGCCACCCGTAATGTTTCCTCCCGCCGTCTTTTGTGTCATGTATTGCTTTTTTGTGAATTGCTATGCATCAGTGACGAAATATACGTCTCTGTCTAACTATAAATTTCAGTCTAACCCTCGGTGAAGAATCCGTGTGCTCGAGGGCGGTGCTCAGGCCTCAGGAACCAAGCCAGCGCTCAACGTTCAACACTCGATTCCAGTCGTTGCTCGAGTTAACAATGTCATTATATTCAAAAAAAAAAAGTTTAACCATATGATATGCAATAAAATAGATCAAATGTATATAGGTATGGGTAGTGTAAAGGGAAGAGATGAAAACCGTAGAACCAAGATGCCAACCAGGGATATCGCAGGCGGCAGCACCAGGTTAGTGGTAGCACGAGAAAGTCATGGTCGGGTGTACAACACCAGGTTCATGGACGAAGGAGGGTCCATGTTGGCGTGCCAGGATAGAGAGGGTCCACGACGTTGCCCTCGGAGCGTGGAAGTACAAGAGGTCAAAGTGAGAATTGGAAGACTGTAGCAGGCCGTGGCGACAGCACCGGGTTGGCGGGAACACCAGGAAGGTCCGGATTGGATATGTGGAGCAAGGAGCAAGATGATGTAAGAGTGGGGAAGGTCTTGTGTTGGCGCGGGTATAGTGTGAGGTGGCAGAGGTTGTCCTAGGGCGCAGGTAGTTGCATCGATGGCAACGCTGCATTATAACTGCAGGATGTTGCTGAGGCCTAGGGTTGGCTGCAGTACTTGAATGTCAGAGCCGCGAAAGACGGGAGGTCCGAGTCGTAGTTGACAGGGACAGGGACATGGTTTGACAACGAGGGGGAAAAGAGTAATCGAGTTACGTAGCCGCCAATCAAACGTCCTTGGGGTCCATCCCAGGGCTAAAGAGACCGGCTCCAGAACCGAGCTAGTTCGACGCTCATTGATGAAATCCGGCAATAGCCTTGGTTCATCATGCCATCATCAACCGTAGCATCACTTCAGTGATTGTCGACCGCATCACAGCCTGATCTGACACAACCTTACATTGATGCCGTAGTGTCGCCGTAGTAGGGCGACCTCCAAGATATCCGACTTTGACACGGACGCTGGTTGACTGATGAGCATATTGGAGTTCTTTGTCGAAACTCGACTCGACACGGAGACGAGCGATTCTGCAGGCACTCATGTTACAGACCATACATTTTGCCAAGACTCAACACAGAAACCTCATTATAAAGGCTGAGACTTCTTGGAAGATGGAAGCCCAGGTGATGTCGCGATTCTTTTCTGCTTTTCACAGGCTGTCGCTGACCATGAGGCTCCTGTGTTTATTGTCACGTTTGGAGTCGTGCCAGCATAGCGTGCTGCCTAGAACCACCAATACTCGGACTACTATATCCGTGACCTCGTGCATTTCAGCAGGCAAAGATTGAATATGGGTCGCGTCCACTGCCTGTCTTTTCCCCATCTCATCATTATTTTGATCACAGTAATCATCATTGTTTGACTGTAGTCAACTCATTGCGGGCTATGCATAAGTTGTACTGCCATGCAGGCATGATACGTACGCCTCATATTGATTAACAATCGGACACATCACCTCACTACTGAGCGGCCTCAGGGACGGGACAATTGTGTCTCGACTTGCTTCATTGCCTCGATGTATCTATCAATATCGTACACCCATCTCAGTTACTCTTTAAACCCTCCGGTTGGCTGAGCAGATGAACTCGTCAGACGCTGTGAAAAATGCAGCTTGATCTCAGCACCCCATGAAACAGAAAGGAAGCCAGAGCGGTTGACAGCGAACCCTCCGCCAGGCATCAGCATCGACACCTCGTGTATCTATATAGGGGTAGAAGTAGCTCGGATGAATTAATTTAAATGATATATTTCTTGTACCCAGTGGCGCGTAAATTGAATTAAAACGCCGAGCTAACTATTACGAGAGCTCGGGTCGTCCATCAAGAAATATCTTGTTCGCACCCGTGATGGAACGAGGAGGTCTACATCTCTTACGACCTTCTCTCAAACTGCGCATCGCTTCTTCCAGGTTACCGCGACCAATAGATGCCGAATGCTCGGTGGAGGGTATGGTCAAGTCGTGTGAGGTATCATGTGGTGCCTTGACGATCTGCATGACAATGATCCGTGGAAATGCAAAGCTGTACAACGTAGGTCCTCTTACCTCTTCGGAGCTGCTTTGCGTCAAAGATGACATCTTCCCCTGAGCCAAGGCAGGAACCTTCTTCTGTCTATCGTGAATTTCCAAAGCGGCTTTCTGGCCGGTAAATTGAATCATAACTCCACAGGAACTATAAACGATGCGTACCTGTAACGATGATGAAAATGAACAGATCATCCCGAAGAAGTCATCTGGCTTCGGTCCTTCCGGTGAATTCAGGTCTTCGCCATAGTAAGAGAACAGAGCGCGTAGGTCTGTTTCGACGAGGGCAGCCATGTTATTGAGCGCGTCGACGCGTTGTGCTACTTCAAGAGTAAACGGCTAGCGTTTATCGGGCATCAGCACGCGAACTCCTTTGGAATTATGTAGTATTCACCTGCATGATTGTCACGAATTGGTCATTATCGGAGGGTATGCGAATCTGCTTTAGCAGACTTATTTCTTCTTTAACCTTGTCCAGCGACGTAAGTAAAGACTGCACGTTCTGTTGTAACGTAGGGAAGGAGACTAAAGCATAACATAGGATTATCCCCAAAGATATCGGATGAAGTCATCACTTACTGCGAGCAGCTGATTCCACACTAGGCATCTCATCGATGAAAAGTGTAAGCGACGGATCAGTGCGAATGAGGACTCGTGCAACATAATGCAAGAGAGTAGGGCATTCTGAGGTGCCCTTTGCAGTCCTCGTTTCCTTCATCTGCGACGTAATGCACATCGACAATATCGTCAAGAAAGCGTGTCGCGGACTTACCTTCACGAGCGCCTCCAGGCGAAACCCACAGGCACCTCCACGAAAGCTGGACCCATTCAATGCGTTCCCAACTGTGAGTATTGCCTAGAATCCTTGTCACCACAGCTAAATTGTCGATTCGGTAACGAACGCACCCGTAATGTCAGCTTGAAACGCGCAGATGCTCGTAATTCTTTACACGCATCATGAACGGTTTTCAGATCCGGTCGGATTTCCTCGATCTCGAGTTCCAGCTTTTGGCGATATATCATGCACTCCAGCCGCTGCGGGAGTCTTGGAATCGTCATAATCTAAGACGCTGACTTGAGTTACAACTCAAGGAGTCACGAGCAGCACTCACGGCACTTAGATATTGATCGGCCTTCGCTAGCTTGCTTACATCTTGAAAATCTTTCATGCGAGCGACCTTTTCAAAGACATTAGTAGAGCGAAAAGGCAGTAAGTAATAACGGACCTCTTCCGGAGATGGTAGCTGTTTGCTGATGGCTTTCAAGTCATCGATAGACAGTTTGTCATCGAGTCTTAGCAGAGCTTGACTGATTTCAAGAGAGGTCATCTTAAAACGCGAAAGCATGATAGCTAGCGAACGTAAGTTGTCAGTTGCCTTATAACGGTTGTGATATGAACCAACCGATGTTATTAGCGCGAGTAATATCAAGAAGAGTTGTAACACTTTGTTTCCGAGTGGGATTTGCGGCTTTGGAATGTGAGGTTGGTGTATTATCAATTGTGAACGTTGCTTCAAGATCATCTAGCTTGAAATCCAGTGAGTTTGACGATTCCTCCCATACTGTGGCGCCGCAATTCTGATCATTGATTTTAGTCCAGAAGAAGGGCTTTAGTCTTGGCCCAGTGGCTTTTGCTTTGTTTCCAATCCTGATTGCAGATCCACTCGGTGGGGGCGGAGGTGGAACTCCTGGGGGTCTTGGTGGAAACTGGAATAGTGAAGCGTTGAGCGGAGGAGGCAGCGGGGGCGGAGGTGGTGGAGGTGGAGGTGACGAAAGTGCAGAACCTGAAGAAGGGAGTGATAGGGGCGGCGGCGGCGGTGGCGAGAGTGGGGAACCTGAAGAAGGGAATGATAGGGGTGGTGGTGGAGGGGGAGGAGGGGGAGGAGGAGGAGAATGAAAGGTTATCTGACTGATGTCCTTCGACTCGACGGTGAGGGTCTCTTTCCGATTTGGAACAGCCCACGGAGAAAGAGGTGGTGGAAGTGGAGGAGGGGGTGGAGGTGGAGGTGGAGGTGGAGGAACGCCAGTCGCGTTCAATGTTGTGCTTGCATCTGTTTCTTCGGGCGTTCGCACAAAAATCGCTCTAGATTTGAAACCTTGTGGCGGAGGTGGAGGGGGTGCAATCCTTGACTTGAACTCGTTTTCTGACATAGCTGTCGAGTTCGCAGCCAATAGCTGTCTGAGGTTTGAAACCTCCGTCTTCAGCGCTGTTAGTTCGTTGTCTCGCTTGGCAAGATTCTCAATGGTGCGGGTCGCAATGAGTTGGGCGTCCATATCGGAAGCTCTTTCCTCTTGTCTCGTTTGAAAACGTGAGTAGACTGATTCAAGAGCGCGTTTGAGGTACACAACCTCCTTGTCTTTGGTGGAAAGAGCACCACTCATTGTACTCAACTAATTCACAATCAGCTGCGCAACATAGGTTATGGATGAATAACATGCCTGAAGCTGCAATTTATTCATTTCTTCATGGAGCGAGTGAAGCCTTGCCCTTTCGCGCTCTTTCCTTGCTTGCTCCTCCTGAATCAGATGGATAAACAATTGTTCAGCGATGTGAATTGACATAACCCACAACATCGTGCGCGTTGTTCGAAATTTGAGAGTTCAAGCGCTCAAGTTCCGCCTGTAGTTGGGTAACTTCCTTCTCCTTCTGCATCAGCCGTTGAACAAGTTTGTTCTGTTGCGGAATCAGTTTGACCATTACCACTAATATGACAGTATTCGCACCTCATTTCCCCCTTTGCTTGAAGTATTCGGCTTTTGCTGGTTTGATCCTGTGCGTTGTTCAAGCCTTGTCTTGAGTGCCGAGTTCTTTGTTGTACATATGAGATTATTAACAAAACCGAGCTTGGATGCGCGCACCGTCTGGATCAGATCGTCTATTTGGACACGAAGGTTTTCCAGCTCGCGCTTCGTCCCACCATCGACGGCATCTATAATTATATCCTGGCCAGTAATGGGCCGGATTGCATCCAGAAACCTCGTAATCAGAGGTATCCAGCCCAAGTCACTACGTGGAGGGTAAGTGCGCTTCAAGACACATTACAAACCAACGCTTACATATCATCTGCAGTAAAAATATGATCCAAAAATGTATCCACTATAGCTAGTTGATCAACTTTGACGTTCCTGTTACTCTGTCAAATCATGTCATCAACTTTCTGAAAGAGGACTTACAATTCAGCATCACCCTTCATGATAGAAGACAAGTGGTGCAAAATACTCATCGATATAGACCCGAGCCCCACGTTGTTCGCGCTTTGTAGAAGATCATCCAGGAAAATGTCTGATTCAGAGCGTTCTATTCCGTACCCCTGACCGCCTCGCACGGCGTTTCGTGTTCGCTCTCGTAGATCCTCTTCATCCTCGTACTTCTCCTCCGTATAAAGATCCAGTTGAGTCAGTAGAGAGTCTGGCGGTTTTGTATAGCGGAGAGTCTAGACGATAGGCTCTAGTTATCGTACGAAGTGGCATGATGAGCTAGATCATTTCTTACCACTATGACTTCATTTAAGCCACGCCGCCCGAACTCTTCGCGCAATAAAATGCGGTCTTCCAGGGATTCAGGACAGTTAGTGAGGGCATTTACGAGGGCCATGAAAGCAGTTCGTGCCTCCCATATACCATCCTCATCATGTGAGGATGTATTGTTGGCTGCAGTGTCGTTACTCTGGTCTGATATACCCAAAGCAGCAACCAGAAACTCGAAGCGGTACAGTTCATCATAGGCGATGCGATATTCTGATGATGCAGCTATGACGGCCTTGTGACCCTGATTGGGCGAGAGCACGCATATTGCGGCGAGAAGTTCGGCAGCAAGCATGCGTGTCTTCAGAGAGGCGCCGTAGAAAGAATACGCTATATGAATAATGATTGTGGGAGACGACAAAACGCTGTCAAATCCGGCCTAAGAACGGATCAGGCCCATCATGAGGCCTAGTCAAACGAAGATCACGTTTACCTGAGTGTTGAGGAGCACCCTGAGGCATTTGATGATCTCTAGCAGAACTGTGCTTTCTATGTCCGCAAAGACTGTCCTCTTCCCGCCCTTACCAACGAGTGCTGCAAGCGCGCTACCTATTGCGTTCATGCCATCTTCTATGATAAATTCCTCGATCCACGGTAACTTTGCGGTAGACAGATGTACTCGGAGGGAAATCAGATGCTTGACGAGCCTAGCATCCGCTTTCATGTTGCGCAAGCCGTCAACATATCGCTTTGCAGATATCGTACTCTCTGCTTCGGTATTCTTCTCTCCACCTGAAGACGCCCACCAGTTGCCGAACATACTGCCAGCAGTCTGTGCTTGCAGGGGTTGCATCGTCTCCGCGACTTTGTCAAATTCGCCACTAGATCGATTGAGAGCGGGGGACATAACCGGTGGCACAGCGGCGCTTGTACCCCAAGTCACCATTGATAAGCGCTTCAGTATTCCAGAGTCGCCTGTTAGCTGTGGGACCAGACGAGGAAGGAAAGCTCCCCCGCCAGAAACTTCCAATGTGGATTGTCTAGACTGAGATGGTCGAGGAGTCCGTCCGTCGAGAGTCGAATGCAAAGCCCGTGCTTGGTCAATAATTTGCCGTTTCTTAGCAGCTGTTAATATATACATCTTGTCCCTTGCGTCTCCTTTCAATGCCATGTGGTCCTGTTGATAAAATGAAACCGTGGTCATAGACAGATAAGTACAGGCTTTCTTACGAGGCAACGTTCAAACTCGGCTTGATCGACCTCTAATATCTCATCTTCTAGGATGCTCGATTGCGTTACCGGCATGATGCTTCCGCCAGTCCGTTGCTCGACAAGGACCGGATCGCTCACGCTCATGCGCTTCTTTGATAACGATGGGGGTGGCGAGGCAGGAGGTGCCGGCTGTTGCCACGCAAAGAGACTCGTGATTGAACCACGCCAATCTGGAGAGGCTGGTCGAGCGGTGCTAGCATTCGCCATCAGTGCATCAAGAGTAGACTTCTTCTGCTTTGCAGTACCCTCCGCGTCATCCGATTCTGCTTGTATGTCCTCAAAGCGCTTCAGGGTATCCTCAGAAGGCTGTACAGAAAATGGTAAAAGAGCTCGCGGGCGAAGGTACCATTCCTCTGGTACGCAGAACTGAAATGTAGGCTTTTGGCGGGAATTTGTTAAGTATGACTGGACGAGGTCGGACAATACTGACGAGGATGAGATCCTCGAAGCTAATAAAGAATATGAATGAGCATTACGTTATAAAACAACACATCAGCCTCACCGCCATCCTGAATGATATATTCAAGGTTACCTCCCCCAGCCATGGGCAAACTCTTAGTAAGACCCAAGTCCTCGACCACAAAACGAATGACATCCTCCACGATCGAGCTCCGAGCATAATATACCGTCCAAGTAAACCCGTCATGAATCTCAGGCACACGCGCAAACGAGAGAGACAAGGAGAGGGCTGCATGTAGCGAAACCAAGCGTAGTGTTGGGGAATGCAAATGGGACGTCAGAGGAAACGTGGAGAAGTGCCTCTGAGACGCATTTATCACTGGATAGTTTGATTGTTTCAGTAAAGGAGCGATGGGAGTCGATGGGTCGATTATGCCTAAGTCATTCGGAAGACAAGGTGGTAAGTTCCAAGACCAAGCAATACAAGTAATACATGTGCGCAAGATTGCTTACCATCCCCGAGAGCCTCGAGTTCCGCCTCTTCCCACTTACGACCATTCGGTTGACTACAAACATGCTGCAGGGCCCAGCCAGTATCCTGTAGCTCCCCGAGGACACTAGATAACACTTCCTCTTGAGCAGTCAGTACTCCGATAATGTCCTGCGCAAGTGCATTAGATGATACGCTAGGGTGGTGAAGAGATCCGTTAGCCAGCAGGACAGGTACAAGGAGCGAGTCGTCTGCCATAGCAGTTTACGTATTTTACAATCGTGACAATGCTAACTTCATCCAGTTCGATCGCCCGATGATGGTCAGTGGTTCGAAGTCTGTTATGTTACTTGAGCTCGTCTCATTTAATAGAGTCTAGGCCTGCCGGTGCCGCCCCAGGTTCCTGCCTATTCTGCAGGTGCATCGATGGATTCCGGACTGGGAAAACAGGTCATGGGAATAAGATATTCATTCTAGGCTGAGTCTGGAGAGTGAGGGAGCCTAACGCCGCGACTTGCTATTATAATGCACAAGGGTAAAGTGCTCAAGCGCTCATGGCGAGCAGTCCGTATTCGATCGATCCTCGCTGTCGGGCAACAGGCGCTTTCTTGTCTAAGTTCACCACTACCCCAACCAATATCTTTCCATAGTATCATAAAATGTCGGACCCGAGTGAGGAAAATGGAATAAATACAACAAGCAAGACAACAAGTGGGCGAGACTGTACAAGAGAGCCCAACAGATACTCGGAAAAAATGGCGACAATATCATGCCACAGACGAAGTGCCCTCCGTGTCCACCGACGGATGCACCATATAATACACTCTTACATTTTCTCCATCTTGAGTGCTGGATGGCTGAGCCGGCGCAGACTCATCCGTCATAGACTCTGGCAGCGAGTCTTGAACGTCGCCACGCACCTCGATGAGGTAGTTGTCCTACAAGTTATGAGCATAGAACGACAGGGCAAGACCACCAGAAATATCTCACCTTCACCAACTTCCTCAGTAGCTTTGAAATGAGCTCCTTCTCATACTCCAGCTCATCCACATCCTGGATCTCCGATTCCTTCAGCTCCAAATACCAATCAATCAGCTCATCACGGTCAACGCCCCGCCCAGTCTCCCGCTCAACTGCAGACAGATGCAAAACTACAAGGCTCTGTAGTGTCATGTATTTGTCGTGCGTTATAATCATCCTTCTCTTTGGGGCGGGGGCAGGCGGTGGTGCAACATCAGGCACCATGCTGCCCGCGCGCGACGTTGACGATGGTCCAGCACCACCACTGCTCGTAGCAGTGCGGTTCAACGCCATGCCCAGAGAGCTTTCATCCTCCATCTGGTCCATCGCTTCTATCTCTGCTGCACTCATCTCGATATCTTGGCTTTCTTCAATTGCATCTGAGGTCTCATTGGCAGGAGCGTTCCGCGCCTCGCGCTCGCCCTCTAATTCTTCCTCATCGAAGTCGATATCGTCTTGTTCGACGTGGATAATACTTTGGCGCAGAAGAGTGTATGCTTCTCGCACGAAAACTGGCGTGATTTCTGCTGTGCAGTTGGCACGCGCGATGGCTTCGCTCAAGCGGATCATCGATTCGAGTTGACGAACGGTGATCCTGTAGGAATGACGCCCTGCTCCTGTTGCGTCATCCTGTCGGAGGATGCGGTACTTCTCTACGAGGATATCGGCGGCCTCTGGAGTCAGCTGCACACAAATAAGTAATATCCAATAGACATCAGGTTGTATCTTACTTTGGGGTTAAACGTCCTGGCATACCGGATGTACCGCTGCAGAGCCTCCGTACTGAACTCCGGATTAATAGCTTCATCCTGGAACCGATGCACATTTACAATATGCTTAGCAATGTTCAGGTCCGTCTTCTCATCGCACTCGTCTAGTACAACAAAGAACAGATCGAACCTGCTCATAATCGGAGCGCTCATAGCGACGTTGGCTCTTAGCGTCCGTTTGCGATCGTAGCGTCCACCGATGGGATTAGCTGCAGCGAGGATGCTCGTGCGAGCGTTGAGGGTCGCATGAATGCCCGCCTTCGCAATAGAGATTGTCTGTTGTTCCATCGCCTCGTGAATAGCAACTTGGTCGGAAATGTCCATCTTGTCGAATTCATCGATAGCGCAAATGCCATTGTCTGCGAGCATGAGTGCACCAGCTTCGATCGTGAAGTCGCCGGTCTCTTCGTCTTTGACGACAGCAGCTGTCAGACCTGCTGCCGACGAGGCTTTGCCGGATGTATAGACTGCTCGCGGGAGAAAAGAGCAAATGTATCTGTTAGTGCATTAGCAATTGGTTTGGTGTGTTTTTATCATCAGCGGAAACGCACTTCAAGAATTGTGATTTTGAGGTGGAAGGATCGCCGACAATGCAGATGTTAATGTCCCCACGGAGGTGCATGCCCTCGGCTGTTTGCTTGTGGACACCGCCCATCAGCTGCAGAAGGAGTCCTTTTTTGACAATTTCGTGACCGTACACGGTGGGTGCAATGCTCTCCACCAGCCGAGAGTATATGTGATCCGAGTCGATCATGCTCTTGAGCTCATCAAACTCAGGCTCAGTCAGCGAGCGGAGGAATGCCTGTCCATCTTCTTCACCCTCCTCCTCTTCTCCACGAACATTAGTGCCACCCTAGAGGAAAAATTAAGATTCTTTAACGTGATCACAAGCACACATGCATACCCTGCCATCAGCGTCATGCACCATGCATGCTAGGAATGCAGTCTTGTACTGCATGTCCCGCACACCGAGACTCTTGAGCCCCGTCACACCACTTCCACCTACACCACCTGTTGATGCGTTTGCCCCACCCTTACTCGCTTCACGCATTAGCTCCGCTTTGTTTCCACCTGGCAGCCCGAGCTGGCTGACATCCGGGACAACAATAAAGGTTCCAGTGAAAACACATTTATCTCCTGCCTTGGCACGTTCGACAAGTTCAGAACGAAGGATGACGTCCAGAGATCGAGGCATGGAGCCGGTGGGTATCTCGGATGGATTCTCCTGTATGCGGACCTTCTGCCAATCCGTGAATTTGGAAGTATCGATTTGAAGTTGCCATGCGACGCGGTTTCCACATGTAGGATTAGGACAGAGACTCGGCTGGACGTATATAAGCGCCCACATCAGTGTATCTTTGAGGGACGTGACTTTACCTCGGTATATTTGAATTGCTGCTCTATTTCGTTGACGAGACCACCGCAGACTTCACAGATGAAGCTACCGTAAAGGAGTTCAGGCCTAACTTCGCTAGTGCGAGTGACAGTGCCGCTGATACTCATTAAGGTGCCTATCTTATCGGTTCTTAGATCGCGGATACCGGATACTAGAGGTAGATGGTAGAATGCGATATTGAATTCTCGTGACTGGAGGTTTGCAGAGTCGGTTGTAGCGGCTGTAGGATTGATCTTGAGGTACTCAGGCTCATACTCTGCGACAAGATTGTGCAGGGCGCGACGGAGGTAGGAAAGGAAACGATAGTACTGCTTCTGAATAGCGTCTGCAAGGACGTCATCTTTTTGTAGGAGATGTGTAAAGTCGACATAAAGGGTGGTTATCTCGTATTCACGCATAGTGTGGATTTGCTGGACGTAGATCAATTCGCCCTCGATGACCTCTGGAAGGTCACCATCGGATGCGGGCGTCGAGGCCAATGCGACTTCTTCAGTAAACCTGCAAGAATAAATCAGAACGCACAAAAATATATATTTGATGTGACCTACGTCTTTAAGAAAGACTCAAAGCTCTCTGACACGCTCTCGCCAACAGCATCTCTAACAAGTGGGACATCACCGTTTTGCTGATTTCTGGGTCGCCTTCTCCGTCTCGCTGTAGCACCGTCTTCTTCTGCCTCCTCAGCTTCATCGTCGTTAAATGCAAGTGCATCAGACGCTGGTCTCCTGCCTGCGGATCTGGGTGTTCCATTAGAAGAGGACATGGTGGCCATGGGAGCGCTGCTTGGTGGCAACGACGACCTAGGTGCTGGTGGCGATGGTGGCTCGTCGATATCCATGTTACTGAATTGAAGAAAGAAAATGGCAAATCGATCGAAAGTTGATGATTACAATTACTTTGATCGCGACGCGTTAAAACACGAGTCTGCCTGCCCTCAAGCGCGAGGTGTCACATCTGTGACACTGACACGTGATGCAGCCAAGCTCAATACTCGCGTGACCATGACTCACCTAATTAGTGTTGTATGCAGCAGCTCCTTGAAAGCATGCAAATTCAGTACTCTATCTCAGTCTATGTTTTTAGCTTAGTCTACCAGCAGTGCTGTTGTAATGCAGGTAAATTAGGGGTATCAGCTTTGTATGAACTGGTATGACGCAAGATTAGCCTTTATTTGCGAATATCACTGCGGGTCATACTCTGTTTGGCCTCGGCTTCAAACGAACGCTTCATTACTGTCACAGATGACCGCCACGGATTCCGAACTAGAGCCTCTCGATCCTGCATATGTGGCAGATGTGCTTTCCAGACCTCCTTTTGTCCAGATCCCAGGCGTGTGCAACGTTCGCGATCTAGGTTCATATCCTACTGCGACTCCAGACGTAGTCACAAAGCCTGGTTATGCCTATCGTTCAGCAGAGCTCTCCAGCATCACCGAAGAAGGTTCATTCTTCAAGTCTTCTTAGTACACGAACACTCACTCCAATGCAAGGTGCACGGAAAATGGTCTCGCTCGGAATTTTGACCGTTTTTGATCTACGATCAGATCCGGAGATGATGAAGTATAGCTCTCCGATACCTACCATTGAGGGTGTAGATGTAGTCCCAACGCCTGTGTTCAAGAACGAGGATTACAGTCCAGAAAAGCTCGCCAAGTGCGTACGTGCTGCCACCGTGCCGCCCCATTTATCACTGACCTTCCTCAAGGAAGTTTGAACTCTACGCAACCGGAACAACAGAGGTATGCGACCTGATCAAATATTTTGTTATGTAATCGAGCTCCTGCAGTCTTTTATGATCCTTTACTCCCAAATACTAGAACATGGCGGGCCCGCATTTGGTACCATTCTGCGCCATGTCCGAGACAAACCAAACTCTCCTTTCATCTTTCACTGCACAGGTTCGTTCATACTTCCTCTCATCTCGGCAGTTTCTCAATTTTTGTTAGCTGGGAAAGATCGAACAGGAGTCATCGCTGCCATCCTTCTCAAGGTAATCGCTACCGTTGGTCCCCTTCAGCATCATAAACTCATTCCTTCTAGCTAGCAGGCGTGGACAATCACTTTATCTCACAA